AGGAAGAGATGATTGGCACAGTGATGTGAATACGTTTGCACATTACTGGTTTGTAAGTTATCATCTATGGTATCATGTCTAGGAAATGTATCTAATACCATATCTACTTCCTGATGCCAGTGTCTAGTCTTTAATTTCCAAATATGCAGGGTCCTCAGAATAGCAACTTCCTATGCTTTTTAGCTTTGTTCCTTCTGCTGGAGCTGTTAGATGTCTTCTTGAGAGATTTCTTTACAAACTTTAACATGCAGTAGAAGCTGTGACATAGCTCAGTGATGGCACAATTTGCTTAATATGTGCGAGATCCTGACTTCAGTTCCTAGCACTGGGGTAAACCATCAAAACCTCAGAGAAAATGGTTCCTTAAATTAGTTTGTTCTCACTTAACTTTGCAGGAATCATTTTATTAGAGCTTAATATTTTCTAATCCAGTATTTTAAGGTTTAATGTTTGTTTCTCATTTTTATTCATTTATCTGAGAACAAGAAATGTTTGGTTTTTTCACTTTTCCATATCTGCTACCTATAATAGTGTTTAATACTTAGAAACTAAAAATATCATCAATGAAATATCAATTTATTTAGTGTGCAAGTTTATGAAAGCTATAGTTATTTAAACCTGTTTATATAACTTACTAATTTTATGCTCTGAAATTAAAGACAATGGTACCATTAAAATATTTAATTTTAATCCTGGAATCTTTCACAAAGAGAGAGAAAACATCAGTTAGGGTGAACATTAAAGTAACCATATAGATTATAGATGAAAAAGTAATTGTCAAAACTTAAAGTTTGGCTTTGCAAGGCAGTCATGAATAAATGTCTCCACCCAAGGCAACAGAGAGCTTATGTAAATAAAAAGCATAAACAACTAGAGAAGAAAAACAGATAAACTTGACTTTATCAAAATTAACATTTATACATGAGGGGACACTATCAGAAGGTAAAACAATGGCACACAGAATGTGAGAAAATATTTTCAAGCTAACTATTTAGTGACCAGTATCAATTAATTTGTATTCTATCAGAAAATATTAGAATAGCTCATTCTAAACAATGCATGAAGCCAGGGATAATTTGCACAAATGGATAGATATATGGTAGATAAATAGAGAAAAAGCTGGATGCATTGATAAATGAATTGCTCAATTATTTGCTCAAATCAGAATTAATAAATAAGTGTCTAGTAAACACATACCTAATTGTAGGTACTTACAGTTTATAAACAATAGAAATATGTTTGTTTCTTGGTTCCAAAGGCTAGGAAGCCCAAATACCTGTCATTAACATCTTCTTAACATCTGGTCAGAGATTTCATGTTTCATCATAGCATCACAAATGCACCTCATAGAGAGAGAGCAAGCTTCTATCTCAGGCATTTTCTGTCTCTTTAAAGCTATTTATGCCACTTAATGCTAATTACATTCATTAGCCTTTAATTTGTCATGTTTTTCTACTATACAGACTTTGGCAGGTGAATATGGCTTTGATATTCTACTATTGACTTGACTGTCCCCCCTTCTTAACTATTTTAATGCCTTTTAATGACAGGGTTAATTTCTCAAATTTTCTATTGCCTTGTCACTACTCTGTAAGATATATGTTATTATTTTCCAGTCTGAGAAAACAATTCAATAATAAAATTTGGTGGCTTAGTTGATAGGTTATCAATAGCTTCCAGTATTTGAGACTGATGAAGTAAAGAAGTCAGAAATAGGAATTTTGTGTATGAAGCAAATGGAAGAATAGTATTGGGGAATTTTTAAAAACTTAATATTTTGTCTATTGTGCAGTTATGTAAAGTGAACAGTGGATGATCCTGGCTGTCACTGGGGACTGACTTGTTGGTGTTTTGGAGGACAATTGGCTCTTTCAGTCACTAGAGTGCCATTCCATGCATTGAAGCTGGTAGGCAACAAAGAGCATTTAAATGCTAGAGTGGGAACTCCTCCAAGAGATTTGTGGACCCTAACCAGCTTTCAGGACCATGGAAAGGTACAAGAAAAAGAGTCACCCTGTCTGATTCTAGGGCTGGCCAAAATATTCCAATCTGACTATCTCTGGGTACATCTGTCCTACCCATGCAAAATCCTCCTTTGGCATTTCTAAAGTTTGGATATCATTGCTTCAAGCTTATCCTTATTACAATAGTTACAATAGTGGGGTAGTAAAAAGAAAGCTTTCTATCATTGCTGTTTTCTTCTTTGAACATTCCAGTCTTACTACACTTTCTAATATGTATTTATTTTCAGTTGAAAAAAAAATTGAGTACCTCCAAGTATAAAAACACTGTGAAACATTCCTTATGGGAATGTGAAAAAGAATGCTTCAAGATTTCTTTGCTCAGGCCTTTGATATCTGGTTGAAACAAGAAGCTAGTACACAAGAGCTATGACAGAAAACAGTGTACTTTTATAGTTGTTTGATGTCAAAGACTTACAGATGTTACCTAAGTAGAGGTAGCTGCATAGAACTGCTAGAAAGAGAAATCTTAAGAAAAAGGGAAATATCTTTACTTCTAATCCATGTAAGATAGCACTCGTTAACAAATATTAATTTGACTTTAGAATTAAAAGAAAGGACATTTTCACATTCCTTTTTTTAGAAACGTGTGGCTTTTTCTGTGATGATATTAGAATAAGTCTTCCCAAGAGAATAGGGCTAATGGGCTCTGCGTAGAAACTGGGAAGGGACATGAGAAGAGGGTTCCAGATATATGCCTGAAGTGAAAGTCAACCTATACATAGACAATATAACTAATGCATTATTTTAAACTTTTGTAACAATATGTTATTATAACAATATATAACCCATTTTTACTATTAATCATTAATGTCAGTCTCTACCTATGTGAATTAATCTCCATCATCGGTTTTTATATGGTGTGTAGAAGTTTTGTACCATCTGTGGTGTCAGGCATGCCCTGGGAGTCTTAGAATGTATCCCTCACATAAGAATTAGGGAAAAACTATTGTGTGTGGGATGTTGTTGTTATTGAGTGGTAATATGTTGTCTTATTTTGCTTTGTGATAAAAGATCTACATTATAGCTCAATCTAGCATGGAACTCCAACTCATGGCAATGTTCCTGCTAGGTCTCCTGAATTTTGAGATTCGAGGCTTGGACATGTCTGGCAGAATCTTGCACTTTTTGATTACTACTTTGGGTGAACAAGCAAACAAATAAAAACATGGCAAAAAAGTTATTTCACAAATTTATACAAAGGCAAAACAATTAACCATTTCTATTTTAAATACATTATACACCGTGCCCAGCTATCCAGTTATGAATTTAGTGTATTTATAAATGACAAAACTGATACAATCCCTGAGAAGAAAGAAAAATATCCTTTTTAATCTTCTATTTATTGCCTGCCAGTATATTCAGTGAATTCTACATATATTGCATATACTTCTCCCCAACATTTCTAGAGGTTGTATTGCTCTATGTCATGTTTAGCCACTGTTGGTGTGTGTGGCATATGGTGCTCAGCCTCCACCACAGAATTTCAGTAACTCTACCATCCACAGATTCCCTCAAGTAGTATAGCTAGAGACCATTGTGCACAGCATGAGCACCCAGGCCTGAAGAACAGCATCTACAAGTGCCCCCATTTTTTTTTTGTCCAGATTTCAAGTTACTGAAATGACCCCTTCCACAAATGCTCCACTAAAGGTCACTCTCCACCAACCTTCTGTCCACAAATCTCTTTTACTTTAGCACTTTATTTATTTTGAAAATTCAACGTAAGTATTAATATTTCTATCTCTTCTCTCCTCGATGTCCTACTGCTAGATCCTCTCATGTCACTCTATTCCTTCTCAAATTCCTGGTCTTTTATTTTTAATTATTATTGTTATCATGTAAATGTATGAATGTAATCTCCTGAGTTCCTTTAGAGTTTGTTCACATGTTTATGTGCTTAGAATTGATCACTTGGGATTGGATAACTCATCAAGGATAAGGAAGCTTATCCTTAAAGAAAATTATTCTCCCTCTTTAGTAGCAATTACAACAGTATATATTCATCTAGAGTTGAAGTCTTATGAGATTTTTCCACTGCACATTGACATATCAACTGCTGTTGTCATTTTTCAGGTCTTGTTCAGGTGGCTAATATATTATTTGGATTTTTATGTGTGTAGATTGCACTGTGATGAATAGAAGACATTATCTAAAAGCAGACATCCTGATACTTTGGCTCTGACAATCTTTCTATCACTACTTCTGTGTTGTTACTCAACCTTCAGTTGTAGGGGTTATATTGTATAGGCATGAATTGAGACTGGAAACCTCAAGATCTGTTTCTTTCTGAATTTTGACCAGTTGTGAATTTCTGTAATGGTCTTTTTCTGATTAAAAAAATTATCTTCTCTGTTGAGGGTAGTGAGTAGTACTTATCTGTGAGTGTAAAGAAAACTATTTAGAATACAGATAGAAATTATACTGGTTTAGAGAAGTGGCAGTTGTAGATTTTCCTTTAGGATTCATGGCCTCACAAGTTACAGTAGTTGGCTAGGTTTACATTACATGAATAAGCATGGATTCCCTCCTATGAAGGAGATCTTAAGTCTAATTAGACAGCTGTTGGTTACCCCTAAAATGTTAGTGCCACTATTGTACCACTGGGAATATCTTGTAATTATCACTGTTATGCTTCATAGACTTTATATCTGGGTAGGACTATTAATTTATTTTCTCCCTTGGAACTTGCATAGTATCTTTAGATCCCATGAGATCCACTTCTCAGAGAGAAGGCTTACAGACCAGTTGTAGCAAGGACTAACAACTGTAGAGCCCCTGCAATGGAGTTAGAAGGAAGGCAGTCTCATCCCCATCAATAGCATGGCTGTTTCATTCTCTCCTACCTCTGACATTACTAACTCTTTATTTTTGGAAAATCTTTGGAAAGGTGGTTCAGTATCTGCCAACCAACATATGAAGGAATTAAAAGAGTTGGACTGGACAGTAATTTTATAAATGTTTTCCTCAACATAGGGCTTTAGAAACCTGAGTCTTCTTTTATTCCCCCTTCTGGTAACAGAGTTCCTGAGTAACATAATATAATTTTAATGGAATAGTCTTTTTGTTCATTGTGAAGATGTGTCACTCTGTTTGGTTTAATAAAATGCTGAGTGGCCAATAGCTAGGCAGGTTTTCCAGGCACACAGGATGCTGTAAAGAAGAAGGGTGGAGTCTCAAGGAGACAGGAGAGAAGCATGACATATAGGAGATGAGGTGACAAGTCACGAACCATGTGGCAGCCTGTAAAGAAATGGAAATAGAAATAGTTTAGTTTAAGTTACAAGAGCTAGTTAGAAACAAGTCTAAGCTAGCAGCTGAGCTTTCATAATTAATAATAAGTATTGTGTCATGATTTTGGGAGATGACTGCCAGGACAGAGAAAGACTTGCTACAATAAACCGCATACATTTATCATCATTCTTTCTTAGTACATAGGTACAGATAAATGTCAGTCAGATACTAAACTTACTGCAGTACTGTGATAAAGTAATACAACTCAGGGTCTGGTTTCATGCATGCTAGGCAAATAAGACACACCTGGCAGATATTTATAGCCCTTGTTTTAATTTTACAAGATTTCAAAAATGTCTTAAAATCCTATAATACAAAGGAAGAATACAGAGGTCCTATTTGCATGATAAAACAATACAAGACAGGCTGTGACCTCCACTAGATTGCAACAGTTTTGATCTGAATTGTTCTCGCAGACTCACATGCTACAGGCTTCATCCCAAAGTCAGCAGTAACCATAGGGGCGGGCACTTTTGCAAGATCAGTTGGTCCCATGGTGTCTAACTTCACCAATGAATCAATCTGCTGATGAGTTAACAGCTTAGTGGGCTATTGGTAGGTGGTGGATAGTTCATAAGGGCTAGTTGGAAGAGCAATGGAACTATGCCTTTGTCAGGTATACTTTGTCCTTGACTCCTTCCTCTATGTATTTTTATTTCTTGCTGTCTTGAGATGATCAGCTTTGCTCCACTAAGTGCCCCAATCATGTTCTTCGGCCCCACAAGCCCAAAATGATGCAGTCAAATGATCGTGCTCTGAAACCTCAGAAGTAAAGATAAATCCTTGCTCATCTTAACAGAGTTTTCTGAGGCCATTTGTCACACAGAAAGCTGACTAGCAGAACAGGTTAGACCAACTTGGAAGAACTGTAGACTCCTGGATCTGGCATTTGAAGACCAGTTATTGAGTTAAAGAGTTACTGTGTGCACCAGAATGGGTGAGTCTGTTTAAGTATAGTAATGTCTTCTGTATTCTAATGATGGCAGATCCAGCTGGTAATCCTTCCTTTTCCTTCAAGTGCAGGATGAATCATGAAGTCATTTCACTAGTCTCTCCCTCTTTCTTTTGAAAGAGTGGGATATGGAGAAACAATGCCTGTGTTTTCCTGCCAAACTCACCGTGACTCTGTCGATCACGGTACTGGCCTCCATCTAACAAGAAGGCAGAAAAAATCACAGAGTTTATGGCAAGATATTTGGTTTTATTTCAGCTTTGAATTTCAGGAGCTTTTGTGTTCTCTCTGTATAATCTGTGTATAATTCTTAGGTATACAAAAAATATGTGTTGCTGGATTTGGGTGTAATTAAAACTGCAGGGAGATGGGTTTATTTGTTCTGCAGTTTCGCATATCCTCTGGGAAACAAAATTGTGATACATAAACTCCAGTTTGAAAATAATGATGCTGTTCCACTACACTTTGGTGTTTACTAATCCACTGAGTGGTAGCACATTAGTCCAAATGGATCTAGCATACCTTTTCCAGCAACTGCTATTGGAATCTGCCAGAACAACTGGCATGGATAATTCTCTATTTCTGAGAAACAGGCTACAGGTATTTTCTTCCTTCCTTTTTTCCATTCCTTTCCTCTCCTCTCCTCTCCTCTCCTCTCCTCTCCTCTCCTCTCCTCTCCTCTCCTCTCCCCTCCCTTCCTGTCTTCTTCTCTCCTCTCCTTTCCTCTCCTTCCTTTCTTTCTTTCCTTTTGGTTTTTCAAGATAGAACACCATTATATCACTCTAGACTGACAAATTAGGAAACAAAATAAACAGACAAGAAAGAAATTGTGTCTATAACAAAGAGAAGTTTAAAACAGTGACTTCAGTGGTGGTCTGCTATCTGAAGAAAGCTGAATACTCTCCCTTTTGATCACGATACCTCTGTCATCAGGTCCTTCAAGTGAGTTTGTCAAGGTCTGTTGAGTGAGCACTTCTGAAGAGATAAAGCTATTGTAAAATCTACCACAGCATGGTATGTACCCATGAGTAACTCCTAAGTTAAAGCATAGAAGAGTCGGTTGTCTTTATTGAACAGCTATGAAAAGTCAAGAGAAATTGTGCTTTAATTTAGCTCTTGTTTTAATCTATTTCTCTTTACATATGATTTGCCTCAGGGCTTCTTACCTTTCTTTCTGTATATCTTACTTTCCTGCTGCCTCCATGTCCAGCTGGTGGCTGCCTGGTTTCTGGCTCTGGGTATGTCACTTTCTTTCTCCCTCACTCGCTCCTCCTTCTCTCTCTCAAGTCTACATTTCTCTTACTTATTCTCTCTGCCTGCCATCCTTGCCTTCCCCTCTTTTCAACTTTTTATTATACCAGTTAGGTGCCTTTGTCAGGCAAGGTAAACAGCAACACATCTTTCCATATTTAAACATATGCAGCATAAACAAATACAACATATCTTCACATCATTAACAAAGACTGCATGAACAAATGTAACACACCATTACACAGCCAAAGTAATATTCTACAACATAAATAAATGTAACAAATCTTTGCCTAGTTAAAATAATATTCCACAACAAGAATGTGAACAAATATAGTTACAGATTATATCAAACATAATAATCACCAAACCCATTAAAGATTTGGCCATGGATAAAACTTCAAAACTTTAACCTTTGTGTTTTCATTAAAAAAAATAGAATATTCTTAAAGTATGTAAATTGTAAATTGTTACGATAAATCTTTCCACCAAAAGCTGCCTGGGCCCCACTGCCACGTGTGAGCTTTACGACAGCTGCCTGCCCGAGTTAGGCCCAAATGAATACACAGAGAGACTTGTATTAGTTACAATGCTGCTTGGCCAATGACTAGGATTCTCATCTGTTAGCTCAGTCTCAATTATCATACATCTATATATTTTATAAGACTTATCTTATCGGATGCCTTATTGGCGTCCCTTCTAGCTGGTGGATCACATCGTGCCACTGAAGCAGGAGCCTAGGGGAAAAGAGGGCCCTTCCTGATTCTCTTTCGCTTAAATATGAGTCTCCTTGCTATGTCACTTCCTGCCTGGATCAGCACTTCTCTACTACATTTCCCAGAATTCTCTTTGACTCCTACTTCCGTCTAACTTGCTGTCTCATTGGCCAAACAGTATTTTATTCAATAATCAATAAGATAAACATACACAGTAGTACATTCCCCATCAGTAAATATTTTATTTCCTGTCTTGTTTGGCATAGTTTGTTATTGATGTTTGCTTGTTCATTCTCCTAAAATACATAGATAAACCAGGACACCCAAACTGTGCTTCCAGTGGACAGTTTTGCACTAATATTTTTCAAATTAGATAAATACCTTTCTAGTCTTTCAAACATATGACTAGTGTTGGCTCTTTTAAAGTTCTTCCCAAGATTAGGATAAGGGGCATATCCTCAGCTAAGCTATGCCAACCTGTATTGCTTGGCTTTGTATTTTCTTGAAAATGAAGCAGAGACCATAACTTGTAGAGAGTGGATTAGTAGATTGTAACCCGCACACAAAATTTGCCCACTATCTTTGTTTGGGGAGCAGGTCTTTGAAACTGTAACACCAGTTGTAATTTTAAGTGATTAGAATAAGTCAGACGAAGAATAACATTTTGTGACACAGAATTTTTATGAAATTAATAATTCATTGTCAGAGGCAGCTGTGCTCTCTTCATTCACATTTCTTATGTTTGTGACAGAGAAACCATGGCTCATAAAACATGAAATACTTTTTGACATTTATTGGGGAAAAAAACATCATTTAAGTATATATGAGCCAGTGAATAATGAAAGGGGAATGTGATGCTTCCAGTTTGGAGGGCTTCACAGTGGGGGGCAAAAGGTCATTGAGCTGCACACACAACTTAGTAGAGTGCTTGTAGAAATGATCTCTTAGCTGGGTGGTGGCAGCACACACCTTTAATCTCAGCACTCGGGAGGCAGGTGGATCTCTATGAGTTTGAGGCTGGCCTGGTCTACAGAACAAGTGCTAGGATAGGCTCCAAAGCTACACAGAGAAACCCTTTCTCAAAAAAAGAAGGAAGGAAGGAAGGAAAAAAGGAAGGAAGGGAGGAAGGAAGGAAGGAAGGAAGGAAGGAAGGAAGGAAGGAAGGAAGGGAGGGAGGGAGGAAGGAAAGGAGGAGGGAATCTCTTAAGGCAATCCTATCTGATCCTTTCCAGGATTTTGGAATGACATTGCTGGTAGAGCACAGAGCTTTCCTATTGGATGTAGCTGGAAATATTCTGTTGGCAGGTGTTTTTCCTCCCCACATCCTATGTCATGAGATTCGTGTATTGTTTGTCTTCTCAGACTCCAAATACAGATGCAAAACACAAAAATATAGAACCAATCTGAGGGTGGCTTTCTTAAAGAGGTATGAGTAAAGAGTTCATAGAAAAACTCAATTTAGCATACACAGCTGTCATGATCAATAGTGATGCTCCTGGCATCAAATTTGACTGTTGTTGTGTCTGACATTGCTATTTTTATCTGTGCACATACAGCAAGAATATGCCAACAATACAGCAAAAAGATGTTTTACCATTCTTTAGAATATATTTGTTTTAATGACCCTAGGAAACACAGAATTTTGGATATACTAAAGGCCAAAGACTACCAGTTTCTACTTACTGTTGTTTTAAATAGTTTATTGGCATTACCATTCAAACTAAAGGATGGTATTGCCAGAATGGTATTTTATACTGTGTATAAAAAAGTGTTCAAACACATTTTCTACTGTTAATCAATCATCATGCTACCTAAGTACTTGTTCTAAGTACTTTGGAGGCTAGAACAGGCATCCAGCATTAAAAAAAAAGATGGACACAATTACTCAGAGTAAGGGCAGTTCCTGAAAATACATGAGGAATGTTTCTACATCTGTTTACCAGGAAGAAAAGTTCCCAGCTTGAGCAAAATCATAGTTACCTGCAGGGCTGGAAGGATCTGGGTATTGTTATAAGATAACGAATAGATTAGTTGATGGAAATCTTCTTTGTCAAGAAAATGAGGAAAACAATATAATAAAATGGATCCAGGAAGATAATGAAAGTGCTGGAAAGCTATCAGAGCAATTGAAACATGCTTGAAATTATAAAAGGGAGTGATTCTTGATGTGGGAGCACAAGGGAAGAGCTCACAAAATTTAATGATGCAGTCCGAAGGGTGGTCACAGAGTACTCAGGGTGGCAAGGAGATCCTTCCATTCAGGAATAGAATTTGAGACTCACGCAGGACTTTTGTTATCTTTGCTCAGAAATCACAAATAAGAGAGTAAACCTACAACTAAACCATTTAAAATGCTCATGTTTTTTCCATCCATATCAATTTTCTAGGTTTAACTATCAACATCTACCATTTCCAACCTTAGATCTTGTTGCTCAGCTAGTCCTTCCCCATTAAAATTCATCCATCTTCCCTTTCGCATACAAATCAGAGATCACAGTGATGAATCTGATTCTCTGTACTGGAGAAATCAATTTTAGGTTGATTTGACCATAAAATAGTTCTCTTATTCAAAGAAGGGAAAAAGAAAAGATAAAAAAGTTGGTAATTTAACTTTCAGATACATGCTACATACATAAAGGTGTCTTGGGGGCATTGGAATATTGAATGTCAAAACAGAAAGTTTGCAATGAAAGAAACCAGTATAAGACTTTGGGATCCTGGCTAGACAAATTGAGATTAGCCAAGTAAAGTCCTACTCAACTGACATGTCAGAGATATGTTCAAGAAGACTTCCCTAGGAATGGGATTTCAAATATAAAGCAAAGATGAAGGCATAGGGTACAGGAAAAGAAGTCTGGGAGGTTTAATGGAAATCTTCACATGATTTCAGTAGGGCAAGGCAGACATTTGGGAACTGGTCAGGAGGAAGAGAAATCTATTTGGACACTCTTCTATTACTCAAGAAAAAAGTGCCACAATCCAAAGACCATCCATAATATAACCAGATTTGGAGACAGAGAGAATGAAGAGAGATGTCATGTGATAAATGCAAAAACCCAGTGAGATGATGGGTTAATGATGATCACTATTTAAGAGGAAAACTCTGCAGGGAACACCTGAAAAGAAGAGATTAGAGACAGGAAAAATAATAATAAGAGGAAAGAGAAAAACTTCAGAGAAAAATTTTGAAGACAGTGTCAGTTGATTTATTTGGTTATAGATGCAGATACTTTGTTCTCGTTGAAATAAAGAGAAAAAAATTGCCTTCAGTAACTGGCTCAAAGACAGCAGTTAAGATTTCCTTAGTGATGTTTTGGTGCTTCTACTGGTGGGAGATTGACATGGAGTCTTACTATGTACCCTTCCTGACCTAGTACTTCAGATGCTCCTGTCTCAGTCCCCATGTGATGAGATCAAAACTGTATAACACCATGATCTTCTCCTAAAGGAATTTTCCTCAAGAGGTTTCTGATCACCCAAATTGATGAGGACTTCCATTTGTATGTACCAGGGAGAAAACAGTAACAGCTAACATGCATTTACCCAGTTTAAATAGACTTCAATTTACTTCATAGCTTTCCTTTTAATAGTTTTATCGGATAGGAATTAAAGACATCATAACCCAAATGAAGGAAATGAGATATGAAATGAAGTATGAAATATAAGGTAAATAGATGTTTTTGCAGTGTTCGAATCAAACCCTGGGCATTTCCTATACTGGGTAAATGTTTTACTACTGACCTACAAACCTAGCTAGAGATAAATATTTTTAATACACAAACTTAATCTTCAAACCAGAGAAAATGAGAGAACACAGTAGTATATCAAAGAACAAACTGGGCCAGTATATTTGCAAAACTTGCTAACAAATTTCTGGAAGTTTCTGGCTTTGGCAAACGGTGTTGAATCATTTTTCAGTGTTATTTTTGCTAGGCAACCTGGGTTTGCACAGAGGATATTTTTCTCTGAAGTGAGGAAAGTTCATCTTCTGTTGTCAAGCAGCTCCTTAAAGGAACCATTTGTCCCCCTTTGGTGATTTGGATTCCATCACTTGTTGGCCTGTTTTGTACTTTCATTGCAAACTTTCTGTTTTGGTATTCAATATTCTAATGCCCCCCAAGACACCTGTATGTATGTAGCATGTATCTGAAAGTTAAATTACCATCTTTTTATCTTTTCTTTTTCCTTCTTTGAATAAGAGACATATCTTATGGTCAAATCAATTAGAAATCTTTGCATATGAAACCTATCTCAATGACATGAACATAAAAGATGTTATGGAAATATTAACTGATTCTATTACAGCTGCTTAGAGGGCAGAAATTAGATTTGAACTGTGATGAATATCTTTCTAACTGTGCGCTAGCAATACTTTTCATCAGTTTAAGAATGTGGATTGAATGTTACTTATTTTGGAAGTATGCTTTTCATCTGATTAAGTTACGAGATTTTTTGCCTTTGTTCACTTTGTCGGGTATTTTTGTGGAATAAAAATATTTTTTCTTTATTCATGTGTGCATGTGTTTTTCTGATCCTCACTCAAAGAATTTTCAAAAGCCAAAAAGTAAAAACACTTATTGTCAGGAAATCTAAGACTTGAATTGAGTTTTGAAGAAAAGTTGTACAAGCCATGTATTTTGCCAATAAGACTATGGAGATCTGGAGTGATACATGTATGTATATTCATAACACCATAAACAACCTGGTAAACAACTTTGTTTCAAAAACACAGTTTTCCCCAAACCTCTGAAAAATTGCAGTTCAAACTTTATAGAGCTGTTTGTAAGACACAATGTTTTTCCCTCCAGCCTTTTACCTTTTTATGATTATTTGTTTACCGTTTAA